ATCTCAAGCCCCGGGAGAGATTAAAGCAACCTGCAGTCTGTGATCAGGACTCTGGGTTCTCCTCCTTGTCTATTTTCTTTTCGAAATAAACTTCCCCTTTTCCCCTAGGACCTTACTATGTGGCAGATACTAGCATCAGCATTTCATGTGCATTATCTCCATTAACCCTCACAGAAACCACCAGAAGCTGCTACTACTGTCCCCACTTACTGGTCAGGAAACTGAATCTTGAACAGAATAAAGGCATTCCAGGAACGGGACACGCCAACATTAGTGCCAGAGTTGGTTTGAGGTGTATCTGGTGCCAAAGTTCAGTTCTGAAGCCATGTGCTCTCAGTCTTTCCTGCTGGATTCTTCATCCTTCCTTAGCCCCATACGGGAGCGTGGATGTTCACTGGTTCATTACGCTGACACCCAGCTGGCTTGAGAGAAGAGAAAGAACCTGTCACACCTCAACCCTGCTTACCTGGGACCGAGGCGTGGAGGGACACATGTGCCAGCCAAGGCCTCAGACACAACAGTTCCAGTGAAACACACAGGTGACGTCTCCATCGCTCTGCAGTTGACAAAGCAGGTGTTCTGGCTCCCTGGGCCTGGGTGAAGTTTTCTTTGGAACCAGTCAGGGTGTGAAGTTTGGGGAAACTGACAGAGCCAGGGTGCCTAGAGCTAGAGGGCTTATTTTTAAGTTGTAAGTCAAAAAGAGCCTTGAGCAGAAACGTCCCCACCTGCTGCAGAATTAGGCATCCTCTGCCAAGGAAGGGCCGGGAGGTGTGAGGGCCTCTCAGACATGGAGAGGTGCCCGTGTGTTGCATGCAACTGTGTGTGCATGTGATTGTGTGTGCATGTCAGTGTGTGTGTGCGTGAATGTGTGTGTGCATGCATGTGTGTGTGCATGTGTGTATATGCATGTGAGTGTGTGTGTGCATGCGAGTGTGTGCATGCAAGTGTGTGCATGCGAGTGTGTGTGTGCATGCAAGTGTGTGCATGCGAGTGTGTGTGTGCATGCAAGTGTGTGAGCATGTTTGAGTGTGTGCATGTGAGAATGTGAGAGATTCTGTGTGCATGTATGTGAGAGTGTATAAGAATGTGTATGTGTACATGTTTGAGTGTATATGTATGTGGGAGTGTACATGTGTATGTTTGACTGCATGAGTGTGTATATATGAAAGTGTGTGTGAGTGTGGGACAGAACTCTGAGTATGTATGTAAACCTGTGTGCACATGTGAGTGTGTATGTGTGTGTGAAGATGTGTGCATGTGTGTGTGGACATGTTTGAGTGTGTGTGTGTAAGAATGTGCATGTGTGATTAGGTTTGAGTGTGTGCATATGAGAGTGTGTGAGAATGTTAACATGTTTGAGTGTATAAGTATGTGTGAGTGTGTGTATGAAAGTGCATGTGAGAAGAATGTGTAGGTGTGAGTATGTGAACATGTTCATGTGTGTGCACGTTTGAAGGTGTGTGCATGTGTGAGTGTGTGTGCATATTTGAATTTGCATGCCTTGGTGGGTAGTATGCACAATTTAGGACAAAAGAGACCCCAACCACCTCTGCTATTGATCTCCAATTCACCACCAGATTCCCTCCTCGGGGAATGTCCTAATGTATTCAGAGTTAACATGACAACCAGGGTCATGGTTATATTTATTTTCAAATCAGAGACAAGGCAGTATCATGCCTAGTAACACTGCACTGGAACTGGAGAACCCTGCGTTCCAGTCCTAGCCCTACCACTCTCTTAGCTCTGTGACCTTGGGTAAGTCACTTGGTCGGGGGAACTTCCTTTCCTCATCTGTAGAATAGGCGTAAGACCCACCTCACTGTCTTCTTGTGGTGACTAAACAAGAAAATGTACATAAAGTACCCTATCTGGTGCTTGGTATATAGTAAATATTCACTGCATGGTGGTTTTTACAACAATAATAATGAATCTGGACAGTGTTGAGGAGTAGAAAAGTTCTTAGGGTAATAGGAGAAACAAGAATAGAGACTCAAGCAAGTCTATCAAAGAGAGAAACTAGGAGAGAGACTGGAAAGAGAAGTCCCAGCCAGCATGAATTGAAAAACTATCAGCAGGAATTCCGATGACATTTGTTGGCAGGAAACCGGGCCAGTCAAATGCAGTAACTGCGAGAATTTAAGGATGCTATTCATAAAGGTGTGGGCAGGACTAAGGAAATCAGCAAGGGGTGGAGGGGCACATCAGAGACACTGAGGAGCTAGTGGTCTTACTAGTCCTGAAGGAGCAAAGAAAGAGAATGTCATTGAAACTCAGACAGAAAGAGAGAAGAGAGGTCTCCTGACAAAAGCTGAGACTTCTGGTCAAGACACTGCCAGCCCTAGGCAACCTGGCAATGAAGGAACCAGGGAAACAAAGGTCCCAACTTCACTGTCCCCTACCCCTCACATCACTTATGGTGCATCCCATTGTCTGAATCCAGTTGGGAGCCAGAGACAAGAAGTCAAATGATAGCATCTTTACAGGGCAGCCACATGGGTGGAGTAAGATGTAGAATGGATGGGAAGGGGCAAAGGGAAGATTCCTGGGCATGTGAGTCTAGTGTCTGTCCGGATTGCATTACTCTACTAGTCAAAGAGATCTAGGACTAGCAAGATAGGGATTTGTCTTATCTCATATAAAAAAGAAAAGTACAGGCCAGGTGCAGTGGCTCACGCCTGTAATCCCAGCACTTTGGGAGGCCGAGGTGGGCAGATCACGAGGTCAAGAGATCAAGACCATCCTGGCCAACATGGTGAAACCCTGTCTCTACTAAAAATACAAAAATTAGCTGGATGTGGGGGCACACATCTGTAGTCCCAGCTACTCAGGAGGCTGAGGGAGGAGAGTCGCTTGAACCCAGGAGGCAGAGGTTGCAGTGAGCTGAGGTCACACCACTGCACTCCAGCCTGGGCAATAGAGAGAGACTCCATCTCAAAAACAACAACAACAACAACAACAAAAACTACAGAGGTAGGTAGAGCTCTGTAGCTCTGTAGCAACCATGTTGCCTAACTCCAGGGACCTCTGTTCACAGCATAAACAATGAATAGTGCTCCCTGGAGTTAAGAAACAAAGGCTAGCAAGTGACATAGTCAGTGTCTCAGGTTGCCTGTGTTTTTCTGCTCTGCCATCCTTAGCACTGGCTTTCATCCTCAAGGTTGCCTCATGATCGCAGGTGGTTGCTAGAGCTCCAGCCATCACATTAGGAAGAAGAAGGAAAGGAAGAAGGGGCAAAAGCTCTCTGGAAGTTCCACCCAATGACTTCTGCTTATATCTATCTCATTTGCCATCCCTACTGCAAGGATGCTGCAAAGTATAATTGCTTTTTAACTTGACATCATCTTACTCCCCCGCAAAATATATGACTTTAATTGAAGAAGAAAGAGAATGATTATTGCCTCTGCCTCAAATAAGTACTGAGTTGGGAGTCAGAAGGCCTAGGTTCTGGTCTCTACTTTTATCCTAATTGACTGGATGATCTTGGGCAAGATACCAGTTAATCACTCATTGGCCTGTGATTAGCTAGTATGCCTCAGCTTCAGGCTATGGGATTGAATTCAGTTATTATCTATGTATCCATCACTTTGAAACCCAAGTTAAAGCTTCACCAACCACTTAAGGCATGTTCTTCTCATGGTTCAGGGCAGGAGTACAAAGGAACAAACCAATACTATATAAGCACATTTAAAGTTTCTACTCAGATGGGATATAGAGTACATCTGCTCACATCTATTAGGCAAAGTAAACCACAGGAGCGAGACTGAAGTCCATGGGGCAAGGAAGTATATTCCTGATACAGTAAACCATGACAAGCGTGGCGAAAGAAGAAAGAATTATAAACAAATAATGCCATCTTTAACTATTGTCTTGAGGTATTGAGCATTACCTCAATTCATTCTCACAATAATTGTTTATGATAGGAACTTTTACCATTTGACAGTTTAAAAAAAAAAAAAGACAAAAACTGAAGCTCAAGGGGTTACGCAACTTGTTGAAGGTTGCAAAAGTATCAGACCTGCAATTCAAACTATCTGAATCCAAAACCCAAGCTCTTTACTTTCAGGCTAGCTATAGAAATCTAGTCTGATTTTAAAGTCCCTTAATTTCACATTTCCTGTAGTTCTTCTGCCACATTGGCACATATTTATTTTCTGTGCAATGAAATGTTTTATGATGCTTCAGCCTAGCAGCTCACCTGTAAGCCCACAGCATTTATGTAAATACTTCTATTATTAATATTATATGAGCCTTGATTCTAATTTATTGCAAAATCCAAGGCTGTCATCTTGGGAGCTGGGTCTCCAATAAGCAATTGCATTCAGAGATGAAACAAACAAATGTGAATTTATAGATATAGTATACACCATTGGGAGTTCACCCATAAGCTCCCAGTGCACACCATTCCTGTGCATGCTGATGGCTCCAATGCAGGCATCCACAACTCTCCCTTTGAGGGCTTCTCCTGGAATCTCCTCCCGAGGTTCTGGGGAGCTGACGCTCCCAGGAACAGCCCTCGGACAATGACAGACTGGGGTTGGAAGACATGTACTCTATCTTTTTATCCCTCAAGTGGGACAACTCCAAGGGACGTTCTGTACTGTGTCTCAGAGTTCCCCAGCAGGAGTGAGCCTCAGTTTCCCATCATAGTAACCTACTTATGAACACATGCTGTATTCACTTCTCGACTTTCGAATTTCTCTACTCCCTTACTGGTGCTTACTGGAATCACCTCCAAAAGCAAAACAAAATGAAATAAAAATTTATGAGCACTCAGATACTTGTCTTGGGGTTTACTTCTGAGAGAACACTGCTAAGATGAGAGGTGACTCATTATTATTTTATTATTAATGAAAAGTAATTGGCATTCCTCTACCTAGGTGGTAACTACTTGCATTCCTTTCATTTGTTTATTTCCAACAAGGTTTAACTTTTTCAAGGAGGGATCCCACAGGCTCCAATGAAGACTTTGAATACTCTCAGAAGAAAAATGGACACTCGCATAAAATGCATCTCCTAGGACTCTTGTCAGCCCTAGATTGATTTATTCAATACAGAAAGAGAGAGAGAGAAAGCTACAGGCAAGCCCCAACTGAGGCAAGAGATCCCAGAGCTCTAACTCTGGGGGAAAGCTCATAGACTACTGCTGAGCTAACAGCTTCTTCCATTTCTGGCTTAGCCAAGTTCAGGAACATCATCCTTCATAGCTCTAAAAACTAGACTAAGCAAAAGCCAGGCAAAAACTCGTTGTCGGAAATTCTTCATTCTGTGCCTGGGAGTGCACTCTTGGTTGTTTAGGTTGCTTATCTGCTGGCCCTGTGTTCACCTCTTCAGTTCTCCGAAGCCTTCACCCTCCACGGCGTCACTACCGACTTCAAAGGCTTCTCCACCCTTGGAAGTGACTCGTGGATGTGTAGGTGGCAGGAGGAGGGAGCTGCAAGCAGGACTCCAGCCTCTTGCCTTTTGGCAAGGAAGCAAGGGCTGCTGCAGAGGCCAGAATTAATTCCTCCTGCTAGCCAGGAGGCCAACACGTTGGGATGAGCCAAGCACGCACCCCACACTCCCACAAAAGCAGGCTTCCCTTTCCTTAGGGTAGATTTCTCCACTCCACTTTCATTAGTCTGGCTCCACAATCTGATAGTGGGTGGAAAAATGGGCTTTGAAAGCAGCCAGCCAAGCTTGAACTGGAATCCGGGGCTCAGTGGAGAATGACTTCACTTTTCTAGGCCTTACTTTCCGCATCTGCAAAACCAGAAAATCAGTATCTCTTTTACCAAATTGTTTTAAGATCAAGGAGAAAACTAAAATCTGTGTCGATGAGAACAGAGCACACAGTAGGTGCTTCCTAATTGCCAACTTCGATTACTGTCATCGTTACTGCTACTATGCCCGAAGGCCTTTGGCTGGTTTCCCTCACTAGCTTTAATTCCATTTCTCTGCTTTCCTCTCCTTTCCTTGCAAGCTAGAGGACGTAATTCATCTTGCTCCCCTCCCAAATCCTACCTCGCTTGCAATATTCTCCTGGGTTTTTTCAGAGCCATGCTACCACCTGGAATTATCCCACTGTTCTCTCTCAGAGGCAATAAGATCTTTCTTTATGAAAAAGCCACAGCAAAAACCAGTTGAAGCATTTTAGATGTGGTCTGACCACCGCCCGTTCAGCTCACCCAGAACAATGTCCCCTCTATGGAGGCTGCGTCGTAAATATCTTACTTGCTTATCCTAGGCTGGGAAGTGGTCTCAGGGGCCAAGAGATTGCTTTCTTCTCGTTTATTTATGGGGAAGACTTTTAAAATCCCACTCTTTGGGTCTGTAAAGCCCATTACTGACACGGACAATGGCGAGGTTTCACAAAAGCAACATACCTATCGCTCAGTGCCTCAGTTTCCTCATCTGGAAATGTGTCATGACCTCCTGTTACTAATTATGATGCCTGCTAAGACTATTACTATCATAAATAACAGTATTAGGAGAAACACCAATTCTCAGTTGCTGAGGGTTTACAATGTCGCAGACACTGTGCTAAGTGCTGTGTTTCATTCATACCTCCATTAATACAGGTCATCATCATTACCATCCTCGTTTCTCAGATGAGGAAATTCAGCATCAGACAGATTACATACACATAGTCAAGATTATATGATAATAAGAGGCAGAGCCAGGCTTTGAATCTAGGTCAAAGGCATCCCAAAGCCCAAAGCCTAACCAGCCCCAACAAACTACCACTTGGTAACCATGCTACCATAGTTACCATAGCAATTGAGAACCCAGTAAGAAAAACTCACAGAGCATGACCAACACCACTGGGCGGGATGGAGTTTATCTTTCCTTCTATTATTTTTATTATAAGACCAGAACACCCTAGTAACTACCAGCCCCCGCAGCCTAAACAGGCGGTAACCAGGGCTTGCTGCGTGTTATTATGGTCAGCCTCACCCGAGAACTAATAACACAGCATCTGCGCTCTTCTATGACCCTCCAGTCCCTGGGAGCTATGAGCAAACTCATTCCCCTATAAAAACAAAGAAGCCAAATTGGTTTCAAAGCAGCTGTCTTTATTATCTGGAGGCAAGGAAAAGCTTACGAAAGCTTTCTTGGGATCTGAGCCTGGTTTTGCTGTCTTTTTGTAGAAGACCCTGAGGGGAGCGCCTTTTGAGTTACTTCTCTTAGCCCCAGTGCAGAGTGGGCACAGGCTGCCTCCTGGCCTTTAACTCAGAGCTGACATGCCCCCGTGGTCCTCTGGGAAGTTCCAGGCTGGCTTCTGGAAGAACGGACAGAACCTTGAATGCCCAGCAGGAAGGGCCCTAACTGCCCCAACTAGAAGAAGGCTTTCCACTCTTCAGCAGCAGCTGATGTGGGAAGACACAGTTTTCTTTGTTCTTGGGCTGGTCAACAAAATCTCTACACTTAGTCTTCTCAGCTTGAGACTGGGAGCTTAGTTTCTTCCTCTCCTATGATGAAGACATGGCAAGTGGTCAGTCCCACATCCAGAAGCCTCCACCAGATGTCTCCATGGGTGCTTTCTTCTCAACCATCAAATTCTTAACCCAGTTGTCACCTCATCCAAGAAGCCTTCCCTGACTACTCAACCTAGAGCATCACATCTCCCTGTTTGTTTTCTTTTCATTATGATAAATTACCTTGTTAGTTTAGATATTTGACGGCTTATTGACAGCACTCCCCGTCCTCCCCACCCTGGAATGTAGGCCCCAGGAGGGCAGAGTCCTTATCTGTCTTGTTCACTTCCGTGTTTCTAAAATCTAGAACAACGCTTGGTTGTAAACTAGGTTTGTTGAATGAATAAATTCAACAAACAAATAACTGATTGAATGAAAGATGGAAGATGAGTACTCACTTCTATTTGCCACTTAAGGAGAGGGAGGACTGATGAAAGCAAAGCAAAATGGACAAGCCAGCAGTCCTGTGAGCTCCATGAACAGCCACCACACTTCCTCAGACCCCATCCCTGGCCCTTTTCTTTGTCCCTACTGAGTGGTTGGTTCTCCACTAGACTGAGCTCCTGGCAACATGAGGCATTGTTTCATCTAGTTTCTTATCCCTAAAACCAGCACAGATCTGGGTGTGAGCAGAGCGGGGCATCAGACTTTCTAGATTCAAACTCCACTGACCCATGTGTGATTTTTGACAAGTGATTTGTACTCTCTAAAGCCAGCTTCTTCATCAGTACACAGGGATCATAATAGAACTTCCCTCCTAGAATCCACGCAAGGATTAAATGCGACAGCTGTGTATAGTCTAGGCCAAACTCAATAATTATAATAATAATTACAATCATCACTAAATGTTTTAAGGTCTTAAATGTATTATTACAGTACCAAGTGTTTTAATATGTGTAAGTATTTATATACATATTTAAAATGTATTATTGAATATTCTTATGTCATAAACATATTATTATAAAATGTTTTCCTGTTTAAAATGTATTATTAAATATTTTAGTGTTTTACATGTGGTATTTTTTAATGTTTGCTGAATAAAGAAATTTTTTAAATGAATGATTTCATTTCTTTCTCTTTCCCACCCCCTGCCCCTTTTCCTCTGCAAATTGAGGGCTTAAGCTCTGAAACTTGGACTATGACAGCTCCATTTATATTTCTATCCTTGAGTCCACATTTCTTTCCATGCAAAAAGGTCTAAGGTGAGTATTCTTATGGAGAATAGCCCGAACAAGAGCTTTGAAATCTAACAGACCGGAATGTGAAGCCTGGCTCTGTTATCTATCCCTTTAAGTTTCTTTCATTATTTGCAAAAAGAGACTCAGGAAATCTATCTACTTCGCAGGTTCATTTTGAGGGTTAAAGGGGACAGTGTGTAAGAGAGGGCTCAGTCCAGACTATACACATTTATTGAGCACATACTCCATGCCAGCTCCACTACTAGGTACCGGGGATAGCTCAGCAAACAACAGAGCTCCCGCTCTTGTGGAGCCCCAGTGCAGCAGGCTGGTGTTTTTCTCTTTCTGAGTGGTGGACTCCATATTTCCTGGAAGGCCAAGATTCTCAAGTCCCTGTCTAATTATGTGGCTGTCTGCCTCCTCCAGCAGTCTTTCTCCTCCACTCACCTCTCCTTCCTCTCTTGTTCTTTATCTAACTCACAGTGGCAGACATTTAAAGAATATGCAGAGCTGAGTATGCAAGGCACAAAAAACTAGAAAGATGCTACCTTAGATGGTGAGCAACTGAGAGCAGGGTCGATGCTGTAGTGGGCACTGTGCTGATTGTCCAGATCCCACCTTGGATAGAAGCATTATTCCCTCACCTGCTGGGAATATTGCCAGCTGATTGCCAGCTGGTAGCCTCCCTGGAACTGCCCTTGGCTAAATTGCTTTTTCTCTCAAGGTTACATTCCCTCAGCCAACATCCAATGACTGGTTCATGCTGGTCTCTTTCTTCCAACTCAGGACAACTCGGAAAGGCGGTCCCAGTTCCAGCAGTCCCTGTGGGTCTACCAACATCTTATAACTGCACCACTGCTCACTCTCTCCTGCTGTCTAATCTTGCTTCCTTCTTTCTCATCTCACATAGTAATCTCCATCTCAGAGTCAGCCTCCTGGGTGAATTCAACCTGCAACACAGTGCTATCCTTAGTGTCTAGCATGTAGTCAGCGTCAATCAATATTTGCAGACTAAATGGCATACTGTTTAGAATTCTTGTGATGGCAAGCAACCGAAACCCAACTCAAACATAAGAGATGAGACACTCAAGTATCTGAAGAGCCAGAGCATGTCAATGTCATCAGGACTTGCTCTCTCTTCTCGGCTAAGCTCTGTTCTCTTCCCTATTAGCTTTATTCCCAGTCCAACCGTCTTCATATGGTGGCTCCTTAAACTTCAAGTTTGCATTTACCCAACTTTCACCACATTTTACTGTTTATTATTTTAATTGGCAAATAAAAATTGTATAGGCCAGGCATGGTGGATCACGCCTATAATTTGAGCACTTTGGGAGGCCGAGGTAGGAAGATTGCTTGAGTTCGTGAGTTCAAGGCCAGCCTGAGCAACATAGTGAAACCCTCATCTCTATCAAAAAATTTAAAAAATTAGCCGGTCATGGTGACATGTGCCTGTGGTCCCAGTTACTCTGGCGGCTGAGGTGGGAGGATCACTTGAGCCTGCAAAGTTGAGGCTGCAGTGAGCCACGATCATCTCACTGCACTCCAGCCTGGGCTGCAGAGTAAGGCCCTATGTCCAACAATAGTAATAATAATTGTACATATTTATCATGTACAACATGATGTTTTGAAATGTGTACAGTGTGGAATTACTAAATCAAGTTCGTTAACATACACATTACCTACCATACTTTTTTTTTGCAGTGAAAAATCAAAGTCTACTCTCTTAGCAATTTTCAAGAATGCAGTACGTTATTAACTATACTCACCATGTTGTACAATAGATTTCGCCACTCAGCTTTAAGACCTTCAGAGAGAGAGAACTTGTCTTTCCAACAGTACCTGAAAAACTACCAAGGCTGAATCGCCTTGGCCTGGTCACATGACCATCCCTAAGCCAATCATTAAGACTGATGAACTGACTTTCCTGATTGGTCAGGCTTGAGAGGCATGGACACACCGTGAACTGGACAGAAGGGTCAACTCCACCTAAACCACAATGATAGCAGAGAATCAGTGGTTCTCTTAAGGAAAAACTGGAAAATTCTGCTATAAAAAGGGAGAATAAATGTAGGGCAGTGAAAACTCCAAGGGGGCCGCTACAAGTAATTTATAAAAAAATTCACCTTACAACTTTGATTCTTCCTTTTTCCATTATTCATCCTTCCCAGCACTTAGGTATTTTGGGAGAACTTTCAGTCTTCCCTGGAGATACAAACGACACTATCAGCCAAGAAAATGTATAGGCATTCTGTGCATCCACTAATAAAACAATCAGGAATCTTAAAAAGTACCTGCAAAATTCCTAGTATCTTTGCAAATCCAGCTCTAATGTCATTGCCTCCTGGAAGTCTATCCTAAATCATTCCAGAAATAATCCTCTGGTCACTCTCTTCAGGGTTGCTCTGTCCCTGTTGTACTGACTCCATAAGGTGCCATTATCTATTTCAATGTCTCTTCCACTGACCTATGAAGCTATACATAATGGAGCTTCTCACAGAAATATTCTGTATACAATGCAAGCTAAATATAGACCTTTTCAGGGTCTGTTCTCCAACTGGTAAATAGGTGTTTGGCCAGGATGTGCGAAACCTGCTAAAGGAATCCCTAAAAAGGTTTGTGGAGATTCTAGAACTTCTCTCTTTCACAGAGCTTGCCATGATCCCTGGGTGTATAGTCAATGGTAACAATTGCTTATGTTCGCAAACACTCTCTTGTGCATGCCTTTTATCTGTTGTTATTATCAGCAGCAGTCATTAGTTTATGTGTCATTTGTTGAGTTCATGATGTGTACAAGCCCCTGGGGTAAGCAGTTTACCTATATCATTGTATTCATTCCATATGGCCTTAAGAGGGAGGTATGGCTTATTTTATAGATGAATAAGCTGAGACTGTCTCAGAGAAGTCAAGTGATTTGCTCATGGCTACGCAGCTAGTAAGGAGTGGAGCCAGAGCTCAAACCCAAGTCTGTTTGGCTCTAAGATCCTTGATGTTAAGCAAGGAACTAGTATTATGCATCTCATCTTTACAAAGTCCTGTGAGGGAAGCAAAAAAGATCTGCTTATCCCCATTTTGCAGATGGGAACCTGA